CATGGTATCTTTGCGCTGGCAACTGAAGGACTTGCTGTGTGACCGCCGGAGTATCTGGTGGGTAGACAATAATGCGGCTAGATTTGCTCTCATAAAGGGCCTCAGCTCGAGCAGGACCATGCGTTTTCTTGCGCGAGAATTCTATGCCTTGGACCTCAGCCACCCAACCTTCTCTTGGATAGAGCGAGTTCCCAGTTTTTCCAACCCCGCCGATGATCCTTCTTGCCAAAGGCTTGAAAGGACTTGCAAGATGCCTAGACTTGGAACATCCAGACGAGCTGCTGCAGCGTGTCTTGGCTTAGCTGGTCTTTGAAGGGGGGAGAGTTTCTAACCAGCTGAAATGTGCAACCGAGCACAGTCAGAATGGTTTACGGCTGTCCAACTCAGAATGCGTTTCTCTCTCCTTGTTGGACTTGGCCGAACTGATTTCAAACCCCAGACCGCTTTCAAAGCTTGAAGAGGAAAATGGCAGTTGTCTCGATGAGGTTCACATGTCCTTTGGCGCTCTAGGTTTCCCTGAGATGGCTGTTTGATGGGAACCGTTTTGGGTTGCGCAAGGGGACTTTTGCTTGCTCACATTTGGGTGTCCCAAACCCTAGTCGCGCCCCTCAAGACTGGACTTGGGGGGGCCAAATTGTCTTGACGGAGGCTTGCGCTTTTAGCTCAAACTTGCATATTCCATTCGATTGCTGCGCGCCACTTTTGGAGTAGCCCTAAAACAGACTTTGGCTTTCAGACAATACTTTCTCTATAGCTAAGCCAAACAAGGCTCCTTTGAGCCTGGTCTGTTTTTGTGCGGCATGCTTTTTGTGGCGTCGCAGTTTGGATTTTTATGTGCAATGTGGACGTTGTCTATGCAAGTTTTGAACGAACATTTGAACACATTGGTGTTGCAGTCGCATGCTGTGAGATGTGTCTGCTCTGTGTGTAGTTCGTTTTCCGTTTGAATTTTGCTGTCATCAGGTGACTTCGCAATGTTTCATGTCTGGAAACATTGCGGCTCTAAGGGTGTGGTGGGCGGGTAGGCCTTCAATCTTCGGAGATCCTGTCCCTCCCAACCCACCCGGATCACCTCAGACAGAATTCCAACCAGTTGAAATGTGCCGTCGCGCGCAGTCAAAATGGGGGGAGAGTTTCTAACCAGCTGAAATGTGCAACCGAGCACAGTCAGAATGGTTTACGGCTGTCCAACTCAGAATGCGTTTCTCTCTCCTTGTTGGACTTGGCCGAACTGATTCCAAACCCCAGACCGCTTTCAAAGCTCGAAGAGGAAAATGGCAGTTGTCTCGATGAGGTTCACATGTCCTTTGGCGCTCTAGGTTTCCCTGAGATGGCTGTTTGATGGGAACCGTTTTGGGTTGCGCAAGGGGACTTTTGCTTGCTCACATTTGGGTGTCCCAAACCCTAGTCACACACCCCTCAAGACTGGACTTGGGGGGGCCAAATTGTCTTGACGGAGGCTTGCGCTTTTAGCTCAAACTTGCATATCCCATTCGATTGCTGCGCGCCACTTTTGGAGTAGCCCTAAAACAGACTTTGGCTTTTGCATTTGCAATGAGAAAGGGCTGGTATGCAGCTGAAGTACATGGGGAGCAAGGCGTGGCTGGCGCCACACCTGGACCGGCTGCTGCCTTCTTCGGTTCCGGAAAGCTGGAGTACTACCTCGCCGCCCGGCGTCCGGCCCTGGAGGTGCGCGGCGTCGACGCCTTTGAGCCCGTCGCAAACCTGCAGCGCTGTTACTTGGGGCAAGACCCTGTCTTCCTGCGCTCCTTGCTGCGCCTGGCGGGGCGCCAGGTGGACAGACGCTTCTACTTCAGTCGCCTCCTGCCGGGCGCTCAGAGAGGCCGTGCCGGGCGTCGGGCTGCCTGCTCATACGTCCTGCTGCGCAACAGCTTCTCGGGAAAGTGGGGCTCCTTCGCGCAGCAGCGGCCACTGGCGCTGAGCAGCGTGCGGCGTCTGCAGCGGCCTCCGATAAACGTGACCGTGCGGCAGCAGGACGCGCTGGCCTATCTACGCGCTCTGCCCAGCCTGGCACCCCGAGAATGTATCTACGCTGACCCTCCCTACATCTTCCCAGGTCGCAGCATGAACTACTATGGTGCAAGGGGGCGGGGGCATGACATGGCCTTCCACTCGGAGCTCCGAGACGCACTCTTCGCAAGCGGCCTGCCCTTTGAGCATCAACGACGTGCCTGAGGCCTGGGAGCTCTACAGCAGGGCCGACTCCATCACGAGCCTGTGCTCGGGCAAGAACAGCTCCAAGCCCGAACTGCTGGTAGTGCACCGGGGCAATCCTGCGCTGGCGACAGGCGCTGGCGACAGGATTGAGTGGAGCAATCCTGCGCTGACGACAGGATTGAGTGGAGCAATCCTGCGCTGACGACAGGATTGACTGAAAGGCAGCACCAGGCCCGCGCCAGGCCCCAGGCTCGCACCAGGCCCCAGGCCCGCACCAGGCACCAGGCCCGCACCAGGCCCGCACCAGACCCGCGCCAGGCCCCAGGCCCGCCAGGCCCGCACCAGGGTTTTTCGGGCTGAGAACCAATTCCGTCAGTGCTGGTATTTTCATGGCGTTGCAGGCTGCGGGTGGCCGTTTTGAGCGCTTTTTGCACCAAAAAACGGAGCCGGACGGAGCGGCAACACCAGTGGTGACAAGCTCGGCGGGCTGACGTGCCGCAGGCCGAAACCTCAGCGGGCTGCCGCGCTCCGAGCCAGGTCCTCGGCGGGCTGTCGGGCCGCAGAAAACCCTGCGAAGAACGAGTTCTGGAACTGGGCCGCTTTTGCGCACTTTTTCGACCCAAAAGAGAGCGGTGACAAAGCGGAGGCAAACGTCAGCGAGATATCGCACAGGAATCTTATTCCTAGCCTTAACCCAGACTTTGGGATCTTGATGGTAACCATGAACAGCAGAAATGACAGCACGGATGTCAGGATCAAGCTCGGCAATCAATAATGCCGTTGGAGGTCCAATTTCGGCTGCGAGAGTGTCAGCAAAGCTTCCACTGCCATCGAAAAAGCTTATGATACCATGGGAGCGCGAGGGTCCACTCACAATATGCCTAAGCAAGTGCGTCGTCGCCCCTGTAAGCATTCGATGCCAATGGTGTCAGGGTTGCAAAAGACCGCACCGACAATAAAAGGCAAGACAGTAAGGCGAAGCCGAACGCGAGCCCCTTGAGCTTGAAGATCAAGCGATTTACCAAGAGCTGCAACGAGTGCTTTGGCGATTGCTGGATCAGGGGATACAGCGACAATGTTGAGCGGCTGCGTGAGCCGCTCACACGAAGGATCAGGCAGGCAGAGCCAGGGTAGTGTCAACGAGTGGATGAACAGGGGCTCTTTTTGGGTATATGCGTTGTTTACCGAATACTATGAGTGGCTTCAGTCACAAGCTTTGCAGTGAGTGATGCATCACAGTAGCCAACAGCAACCTCAGCAGCGACAGCCTCGAGAAGGACTTGCCTAGGATGATCACTGCTGTCAGTGAGCCGCCAAGCGCCAAAAGCAAGGGTGCGAAGGGCGACATACAGTGTCCGCAGGTCAAGCTGCTCTTCCCCTCGATTGCATGGGACATTAGGAGCTGGGATAGTGGTATCACAGGCGGCGTCATCGCCGGGGCGAGCAGGTGTGCTGTCGTCAGCAGCTGGTACACATACAGAGTTGATCCTCTTTTCAAGGCACGTGATCGGAAAAACGTTCAGCAGGATGGAGAATTTGGCTGTTTTGCAGGGTTTTCCCCCCAAAAAAACCAAAATAATTAGGTTACTATAAGCTGATGTTCCTTACTACTCAACCCGCAGCCTCTGCAGCACACGCCCCTGCGGGCAATTTCCGAGACTTCCGCAGAGGCCAGGGACGAGGATGTGCGACTTGCCCGGATGTACCAAGGCTTCGTCGAGGACGACCTGGCAGGAGACCCCGCAAACAACGGTCAGGGCCCGCCCTCCATCACGTCCGCGTCGTTGGGTCGACCTATGATCTGCGGTGGCTGCGGGCCTGGCGGGGCATCACTGCGAGCCCCCCTGCTCCTGCCCACGAGGTCCGCTGCTGCCTGCACTCCAAACAACCCGTGCTGCTGCGCCCAAGATGCTGCCCCCGCAGCTGAACCTAGTGCTCGAGTTGGAGTTTGCCGACGCCACGACTGCGCTGTGGTCCGAGAACGCCGGGGCGCACCGACTTCGAGATCCAGAGCGTGCGAGTTCTGGCCTCCCAGGTCGTTTTAGACTTGCGCTCGTGGAGTCGTTCAATCGGGTGCTCCTCTCAGGAAGGTCCCTGGTGTTCAGCTACCCCACGGTGCACACGCAGCAGTCCACAGTGCCGACGGTCTCCGGATCATGCAGGTTTGGGCAAGCCGCAGCTTGCCCTTTCCTGACCACAGACCCCGGTCTGCTGGTTGGGCGTGGGCACGCATGCCACGCCATGCACGCACTGCATGCATGTGCAAGGACACGCGTTGTATTGCCTTAGAGTTTCACGGGGGGTCAACGCACCTCCTGCTCCAGGCGCACCCGTGCCCTGGAAGCAGTGCTACTTTCAGCAATCCCGGTAAAAAGAACTGCGGCCGCTTCGGACGTGCATTGTTCTTTTGGGTGGTCTTGTTTGGGTTCAAGCTAGGAGCAGTGCAACATGCCTCAACAAACACATGGGAGTGAAGCTTCATGTTGCGCTTGGCGCATCATTCCCGGACACAAGCTACGCTTTGCCGTTCGCCCAGAGGATGTTGCAGTAATTTGGCATACGCACGTCAAGTGTGCATGCCATATTCTTAAGCTGTTGGGCAAGTCTCGGATTGTTTGCGCGCCGGCCTTGTCTTAGCTTCCAGGCGACAGACAATGACAAATGATACTCAGCTTTTCTTGGCCAGGTTTGGAAACGAATCGTCTCGTTTGCAAGAAAACACCTTGCACCAACCAGTTGCTTAGATTTACTAAGCCAAAGAATGCGACTTTATCTAAATGGCTGTTAGTACACGGCGTTGGGATGTTTTGGGCCCCTGCCCAAAGTCCTGCACGACCTGGGGGCAACACTCACGCCATGGAATCCAGACACTCACGCCATGGAATCCAGCGGAAACAGCTCTGATGAGGCTTCGACTGATGGCTTTTGAATGCTGCATTGGAATGTCTCGGAAGGACTATTCCAATTGAATATGTATTGTGATCATCCCAATTGGACCTTTGTTTTCCGATTGAACCGCGTTCTTGTTGGCGAGTCACCATTCGGAAACAACATAAGAATCGGCAACTGAGCCGAAGTTTGCCCGGATTTGCACTTTTCCATTACTTTCAACTTGCATCGCTAGCATTCTTCGTTGCTGTTGCAGACAAAAACATTCCATTAACAGCGCAAGTATTCTGTTAGTACTTGTTTATAGGGAAAGGTGATTGCTCGAGAAAAGTCCGGCATGTCTGCTCGTGTCTATATCCCAAGATTGCATGAGCCTCGAGAGATCTGGGTTTGTGGCTCAGCTGGTCGTAAAACAAGCCTTCCCTTGTTTGCATGATTTGAATCACAGACAGATTGGCACTTTGCCCAGAAGAGGGCGCTTTTGAGTTGGCAAGTTTCCTTCCTGGGGTGCCAGGAAATCTTCGAAGATTTGGGTAGCGGCATCACTGCAGACGTAGTCTTTCTGGCAGTTTTCGACGTGATCCTGTCCGGATTCCTCGTGGTGCTATTGTTTGCAGTCCTTTGGCATCCGCAGGCGCCATGGTTGTCTATATTATGTCCAATTCACAGCGAGAATAACAAAGGACCATGATTGTGCCTTTAGAGAAGGCAGCTTTAAAAACATGCACCATCCTGATTCAGGCTATCTCGAATCGTTTTCCCCTTTATGTATGGTCAGCTTGTGCAGAACAATTTTGGGTCATTTAAATATCGATTCCAAAATCGTTATCGATTTGTCAGTGCTGTGGAGATCAACATCTCAGTCATTTAGCGGGGCTTGTCTCAGACTGGAGAGTTTGCAGGAAACATGACGTTTCCAGGCAAAGAGTCCATGCAATGACAGAATTGCATAACGCGCATGTGCTCCCACATTATTGTTTCCGTCTGCACGGAATCGGGCAACAATGTACGGGGGGGGGGGGGACAAGGATCTACCTTCCTGAGGTTGGGGTGGATATTGAGAATGTTGCATTCAAGTTCTATATAATCTATATATGCTCCTCACAAAAGAGCGGTTCAACTTCACGAAACATATCGGCTTGGTCTTAGGCAAAGCGAGGTATATTGTCAGCGTGTGTGAGTCTCACTTGAGCAAGCGAACATAGATAACCTGAATAGTTTGGGTGATTGGAATGCAGTTGCGATCATTTCCAACCAAAACAGGTGCCAGTCTGGGGATTCATTGCGTGGTTCTGGATACGAGGTCTTGGACTCACAGATTCTTGGTTGTGGAAGCACATTCTGGGGAAGTGGCGGCTGGAACGGTACTATCTGCCCCTGAGCACTGAAAGTATGCCCAGTTCTGCAGCAGTCACCTGCTTGCTTCTTTGAGAAGGAGCCCCTTTGAAAAAAAGGTAAAAGTGCTGTGACGACTATATAGCTGAGTGGATGCCTTCCTCCATTTTTTGGTTCAATGCCTTGTAGCTTGGCGCAACGTTTGGCGGTTGCAGTTGATATGGCCAATACTTTGGTTTGTGTCAAGACTAGGGACCTGCTGTTTTGGTCCATCAGTATGCCGAACATTTGCAGGTATCGTTGTTGTGACTGACACAAAGCTGCTTGCTTTTCAAGAGCACAGAAACATGCCTTTCTTTGATACATATGACTGCCTGTTCGACCCGGTGGAACACTATGATGCAAATCGATACTACTCTTCCGTCAGACAACAGACAAGGGCCACACGCACACACACACACACATCACCTCCTTTTTTCTTGGGTGGTGCTCGTTGGTTTTCGAAGTCTCAAGACTTGGGCCCACGGAAACCCATCGATACAATGCTCGGGGCTTCTTTTCTCCAGGCGTTGAAGTTCCTGGTGGCTCTGGAGGTGCTGCATTTGGTCCTCCAGTGGGGCATCTGGCGCCTGGACTTTGGCAAAATTCACGCGGCCCTGAGGGAGGAGCTGCCGAAGGCAGAGGCAAGGCGCTCAAAGATGCTAGGTCTGATAGGTTGATACACGCCTGAATTAGCTTTTACCTTGCAGCACTACATCGTTGGAGCATTGTGCGTCGTGTTTTCTATGTGCTGTGGCCCTGGGGGCGAGGGATTTGGGATCTTGAAACCCTCAGGTGCTTTGGCAGGATCTGCATGCAGCTCAGCCTTGGGTGGCGGCAGAGGCGGAGTCCTACGTTCTGGAGTGGACCTCTCGAGGGTCCAGGAGGACAGAGGGATTGGTTTGGAATTAGCGGTGCTTCAGGTTGTTTGCTCTGAGGTGTCATTGACCTGATGGGCAGGATTTGCATGGTTGATACAGCCGGCTAGCTTTTTATTGTTGACTTTTTTTGGAAAGCTCTGGCCCAAGACCCCCCAACGGTTGAGCTGGGGCGGCTGACTTTGGGTTTGTGTCCCACATGGATCGCGTGCAAGTGCTTCGACCCCCTGCGATGGGGAACCTTTGGTCGGGCATCGTGGAGGTCTTCAAGAAGATCGAGGGGGACACCTTCATTGGCCACCTCCCTGGGTTGGACCTCGACGTGCTAGTGGGTGGCATCACACCGGACTTTGTGACGGCCACGGTTTACTTCCTTGAGGTCGTTGACCTGGAGCTGCTCACCATGAGGGCGACCACCACCACCAAGGTGATCCCACACGTGGCACCCACCTCGGCCTCCTGGACACGTGTCAAAGAACTTTGCGCTGGCTTGGGTGGAATTGGTAAGGGATGCCAACAACTGGGCGCTGTGGTTTGCGCCTCGGTTGACCGCAATGCGGCTGCATCCACCCAATTGCACTCCAGCCTCCATGGCACTGTCATCAGCGGAGACATCACATGCGACCGCACCATCTACGCATTGCACATGGCGGGTGGCACCACACCGGCTACTACCACCTCAGGATTTCCCTGCCAGCCCTTCTCGGCCCAGGGAGACCAGAAGACATTCGATATATGCGCATCTCCTTCGAGCAGTCCAACTACAAGACCGGAGCACCAGCGACATTTCCCCACTCCAGGCCATTGAGGACTACAAGCACCACCTTATGCAGAGGCAGTTTCACTTCTGGGCCAAGCACCACCCTGCCCAAATCTGCCGAGCATGGGTCATTGATGCTGATGACTCCTACCTCGACATCAAATTCACTGGCAACGTCACAGTCGAGCAGATCCTGAATGCAGAACAGGGCAGCCAACCCTGGCCACAACTCCTTGATGGACATCAAGCAGTACCACACGGAGCATGGATGCAAACGGCTGGTATGTTTGGCCCCTACCGGCTCATCTATGCGCTCAAGAAACAAAGGCGATTGCAACCCTCTGGGCTGGTAGCCATCACCATCCGTGCCAACGATGAGGAGATCGTCACCTACAAGGATGCTGGATCCTTCATCTTTGAGGTCCTGCGGGAGTATCGCATCGATGAGAACGCCAAGATCCTCACCGACTATGGCCTACGAGTTGCACAGGACCTCCGAGTGTGGAACACCGCTTCCTTTCACATCACCACAGGCGGCGGCGATGCGGCCAACCAAGGCATGACCGCACACACGTTATGGCCACTTGCCCTGAACCTCCTCAACTACCACCACCACGCCCTTGCCTCTGGACCCCTTCTTGGATGCCTGATCGAGCCATCCGCCACGCATCCACTCATGCTATACCAGCACCCGGCCGCATCCAACATCACTGGCTGGCAGTTGTGGCTTGTGCTACATCAGGGCCACTGGCTACTACTTGAACTTCATGCACCACCAGCTCTTGCACCAGTTGGTGTAGCCAAGCTCTACAATGCACATACGGCACATTCGAGCGCCCAACAACTCCAACACCTGCTCCTGGATCTTGAGAAGTCGCTCCACATCAAGATCATCCTCAACAACAACAAGGGAGGACGTGATCAAGTCCATCCGGCAACATGTGGCACGGTCCTCCTTGGCAACCTTGCACATGCCCTGCGGATCCATCATCTCTGGCCCAGCAACCACGACGAAGAACTGCATGCGGGTATTTTGCAAGCCTTCCCACAGATCCACCAGCAATACATTGGCTGCGGACCTGCTGAGGAGTCTGTCGTACTCCGCGCCATTGAGACTATCCTTCTTCAGAAAGGCGTACCAACCACCCGGGTGCGAGAACGAGCACATGCGGCCCTCAAAAAGATCGGACTTCAAGAGCTTCAACAAGTCGTCCAGCTCAAGAACCCGTGGCCGGCAATGAAGTCCGTTGCTAGCCGACCCAGCATCAACTTTATGTGGGTTGCTCATGATGAACTCCAAGCCCAGATCCGGGAGAAGGCGGAGGACAAGTTCAAGATCCAGTCCAGCAAGCGCAAAACTGCCCGAACAAGCAAAGATGCACCACCTCTACTTCAGGTTGAGCCCCACCTGCTACAATTAGCACCGAACACATTCGTGCATCAGAACCAGCCCGTCACACAGATTGACCTTGGGGCCCTCAGCACTGCCACCAACGGCATCGCGTTCGGTTCGGTCGCCGACGTTTTGCCCTACCTCAAGGAGGGCAAGCCCATCAACAACACCGCAGTCGGGGTGCTCACCACAACTCCTGTACCAGCTGAGCGATGTGGTTTACTACCAGTCCGCCATCTCCGACACCCTGCTCTTTACATGCCTACGGGGGAGCCGTTGCTCATTGCGGGAAGCCTGATCCTCCTGGGCCAGGGTTCCATCGATCGTGCTGATCACTCAGGTGGCCCCAGCATCGAGATCATGGCTACGCAAACACTGCGCTTCTCTGTCTACAAGGACCAATGGACTGGAACCTGGGAACTCTTTCTGCAGAAGCCCGTGCGAGAGCTCATCCAGAAGCTCCCTATCAAGCGCTTGTGCAAAGAAGAGAGCTGCGGGGACTCATGCCCCTTCTACCATCCCCCTGTGGACGAGGCCGTCGACAATGTCATCATGGACCTCTGGAACCGAACATGGCTGTCCGCCGAAGGCAAGTTCTGCAAGCCCGAGAATGCTGCCTACTGGACTGTCCTAGCCCGAGTGCCAAAATTCGTACAGCACAGCCTACAGGGGCTCTCAGCCACCGCAGGACTCTATGTCGAACCCCGCACATCGGGGGGCAAGGAAGCCGACCCGGCATATGCAATGGTCTGGCTTGGAAACATTTCCGTTGGCGCCGCAATGCACAAATGCAGAACCACGCCCACTGCGATCGCAGTGGGTCGGCTACACCAGAAGTATGGCGTGCGTGTGCTCGACGCCGACGCCGAGGAGACGTTCAAAAAACTCCGACCGGAGGAGCCCTTCATCAACACGAAGGCAACCTCGATCTACCGGCTCTTTCCGCTACCCTTCGGCATGCAACGACACAGCCTACAAAAGGCCATCACGAAATGGGGATGGCAAGCCCGAGTGCTACAACCCATCGGCGGCGGAGTAGCGGGCAACACCTGGGAGGTTGCAGCTGCGGTACCACCTCCAGCTGAACTCATGCAGACGGCGGAGGGTGATGTCATCGTCACCCTTGGGCGACACCTTGTCAAGGACCCCACGCCACCGCCCATCCTGGCTACTTCAAGCACGCGGCAACAACTTCACAAAGCTGGACAACCTGCACCTACCTCCACTTCGGATGACCCATGGGTCCTGGGCCCTGACCCGTGGTCACAGAGGACCTCCAACAGCCACATCACCCCGCAGGACAAGTACCAACAAATGGAAGTTCGACTTCGTGATGGAGTCCGATCCACCCTGCGCAAAGAGCTTGAAGAAACCTCCATGCAGGTCGACTCGGCCTCCGGCATTGACCACCACTTTGCGGACAGCACAGTCCAGCGCATCCAAACCCTTGAGCAAGACATGCTTGAACTCAAAGCTCACAACCAGAATTTCCAGCAATGGTTCAAAGACTCGGCGGATGCCAACCAGCAGCTCCAAATCAACATCCATGAGTTGCAGACGGTCGTCCACACACACTCCTCAGAGCTCGGCAATATCAGGAGCGACTTTGCGGGCCACTCCGACTCAGTCGGCGATGCTCTTCGACAAGTCCGAGCCGATATGCAGACCGAAATGGGAGCTGGGTTCTCCAGGCTGGAGGCCCTGCTTGAGAAAAGGCCCCGCTCCTCCTGACTACGGCACAATGGCGCTGCCCGTGCTGGCGAGCAGCGGCCTAAGCCTTTTGGTTCAACCAGCAACTGGCCACATCGCGGTCTTGCGCTTTGGTGGCCACTCCTCCTTGTCTACTACCTCCTCGGCGGCACGGAGGCTTCTACCATCCACCGCCCCACGATGACGACACACCATGGTGCACCTGGGCACATGCCAACTTCACCTCAACTACCACTTGGTGACCAACTACCACCAGGGACAATGGTCCCATGCCGAGTCGGAGAAGCGACCAACCCTGGCCCCCTGCTCCACCTCACTCAAGTCAACCCAACTGGACTTCGTGGAAAAGAAGGTCTTCTTCTTGGACTCCCACGGGGCATCATCAATGTGGCAGAAACCCACTTGTCTAAGGAGGGCATCCCAGCTTCTCGCAGAACTCTGCGCTCACTGGCCGCAAAGGACCAACAAAACATACGATTCCTTCCTGGCTCACCTCTACCCTTACGACCACGCAGTTACACCACCGGCACCTGGAGTGGCGTTGCTCAGATCACCGACCTGCCAGCACACCCCTTTGTGCTCCCATGGCCGAGCGGGGAACACACCGCTGGCCGGGTTATGGCATCCCGCTTCTGTTGGCCGAGCCTCAACATCCTGGGCGTGACGGTTTACGGCTGGAGCCCTGGACCTACCTGGCCGCGAGCACACCAGCACACCCAGGACTTGCTCCAGCACCTCACCGAGCAGCTGGTCTTTGGATCCTCCGGAGCCAGATACATCAGCGGCGACTTCAACGGTTGCCCCAACACCCTACCTGCTTTCCATCTTTGGGAGCAAGCGGGGTGGTGCGAAGTACAGGATCTTCACCGACTTCGAACTGGGGAACCTCCCAGGATGACCTGCAAGGGAGTCTCACGGCCGGACCGCATCTACGTCTCCCCGGAACTTGCCCTACTGTTCCAACAAACTATGGTACAGAGCGGATTCGCGGATCATGAAGCTCTGACGGCCAGCTTCCGCATCCTGGAGGTCAACCAAATGGTTCTCAGTTGGCCACTACCAGGGGCCCTCCCATGGGATGACATCTGCATCCAGGATTGGGCACACTACGAGTCCGAGGAACCCCCGGGTGACATCCGACCCGGCCACGAGACTGAGTACTACAAGAACCTTGGTGCAGAATACGAGGACAGCGTCGCCGTGTACCTGCGAGGACAACAGCGCCTTCCCCCACACCATCGCGGCCGAGCACAAGCATTAAAACCACGTCTCCGACCTCCTCAGATGCCAGCACTTCGTGCCTCTAGAGAAGGTGAGGAGGCTCCGGCATCCAGCTTCATCAACCGTCAGCTCCAACGCTGGTTCAAACAACTGCGGAGAATCCAATCCCTCAAGCACAACATCCACGCTGCGGGTCAACACGCTGCTGCAATAGAGTACCGGCTCTACCTATGGCAAGCTATCAAAGTCGCCAAAGGCTTCGATGGGCCCTTCGACTACTGGTGGCTGCAAAGACCCCATCAACGCCAAAGCGCACCAGGATACCTTCCTGAAGATATACCAGCTGCCAACGTCATTGAGGAGATCTTTGAGGACTTCCGCACCAACTACCGGAACCTGGAAGCCTGGCATCTTCGTCAACGGCAACGGGCACTTCGTGTCGAGTACCGTGAACAAGCGAAGAAAGCCTTCCAAGCGGTCAAGGGCAAGGAGTTCCACAGCATGGACCACTTGGTCAGCTACCACTACGCGGACATCCTTCATGTCGACGCCCAGACCTCTGAAGTCCTGGTCGACCACGCGCTCCCAGAGGCGACCAATGGCCTCTGGTTCGTCGATGACGAACCGGCACAAACCCGGAAAACCGGACCCAACGCCTACCAGGTGCACACCGACCTCCTGCTTTGCCCTGGCCAGGTGCTGGAACACAGGGTGTTCTACACCGACTCCACGGAAATCCTGGAGGAGCTGCAGAAATTCTGGCAACCACGATGGCTACGTCATCGCGATGTTCCTGCTGACCAATGGGACCGCATCCTTGGCTTTGTCCAGGCTCATGTTCCACAACTGGAGATGCAGGTGCCGGCCATCACAGTCAGTGCATGGGATAAAGTCAACGCTCGATACAATGAACACGCGGCAAGGGGTCCTGACGGTTTCGACAAGCAAGACCTCCTTCGGATGCCCATCGTCCTCAAAGAACGAATGGTGCAACTCCTCAACCATGTCGAGGATACCGCTCAATGGCCACAGCAGCTGTTACAAGGCTTTGGAATTCCAGTTCCTAAGGAGACCGCGGCCGACACCATCAACAAGTTCAGGCCCATCATTGTGCTCTCCACTGTCTACAGAAGCTGGTCAAGCCTCCGTGCCAAGGTCCTCATCCACTTCCTTGAGAAGTTTGTTGGGCCAAACGCCCTAGGATTCCTTCCTGGACGAGAAGCCGGCCAGATCTGGCTCTACATACAGGCCTCAGTGGAACTTGCACTCCAAGGTGGCCAAGGCCTCGCCGGCCTCACCACGGACGTTAGCAAGGCCTTTGAATCCATCCCACGACGACCCCTGATGGCCACATGTCACCATCTCGGAGTACCTGCACGAGTCCTCCGACCATGGGACCACTTCCTGAACAACTTTCAGCGACGCTTTGTCCACAATGGACAAATCAGCGAGCCACTCACATCCACCTCAGGCCTACCAGAAGGGGACTCTCTGGCCGTCATGGGCATGTGCGTCATCGATTGGGTCTTCGACCTCTACATGCGTCGTTTTGCGCCGGCAGTTATCCCTAAGTCCTTCGTGGACAACTACGAACTCCTGGCCACGAACGAACTACTCCACGGCTACGCGGTCATGCAGACCTACATGGATCTCTGGCAACTCCAGCTTGACGAGCCCAAGACATTCACATGGGCAACCTCCTCACAGGACAGAAGCCATTTTCGCCGCCTTGGCCTTCGAGTTAAGACCACGGCAGTTGACCTTGGTGGGGCACTCACCTTCTCCCGCGCTCGTTCCGTTCAAGGACAACTTGAGCGCTTCAAGGCCATTGAACCTTGCTGGGCACGGCTGCGGCGTCTCCCCATGGACCTGCACACCAAGCAGAAGATTATCCGACAAGCCCTTTGGCCAGCTGCCCTGCACGCCATCGCAATCACACCCATGGCGGAAGACCACATTGGCAAGCTGCGGACTCAAGCGGTTCGCGCTCTTGGGTGGAAAGCTGCAGGATCTCAGCCAATGATCCGACTCAGTCTTGGAGGAGACCATCCCTGTCTCGACCCCGGCTTCTACCAGTTGCTCACCACCTTCATGGACTTCAAGCGCATCCTCATCAAGGAGCCACGCTTCATGCGGAATTATGATGGCCAGAGCTTCTCTGGCCCCTATGGCAAGATACTGGAGCAGGCAACACTCGTCCAATGGACAGTGTTGAACCCACCACTCCTCCGTGATCACGATGGACTCTGCGTCAACATTCTCAGCATCCCCCAGGATTGGCTCTACAAGCTCTTGCAGGACGCCTGGTATCAACGGGTCGCGCGCTTCATCCAGCCACGGACCGATGGCCTCCCAGCCGAACTGAAAAAGCTATGGGCGCACTTGAAGTGGCCACCATCAATGCACTACGGGACGGATCCTTCATGACGCGGAACATCCAGGGGAAGTTCGACCTTGCGCACGGCTACAACTGCGACCTTTGCCAACAGCCAGATTCCATGGAGCACCGATGTCGTGAATGCCTTCCACTCACCCCTTTGCGGGAAAGGCACCAGTATATCATGGAACGCTGGGATAACTGGCCATGCAGTTTACGGATCCACCTGCTCCCCAGCAGGAATGCCCACTTCCGGGAGATCAAGCACGCCCTCGCCGAGCTCCAGGACAGGACTCTCGACCATCATCTTCAACCTGGTGACCATCAAGTAGTGGACATCTTCACGGACGGTTCCTGCTGGAACCCCAACGACCCCGACCGCTCTTTGGCCGCATGGGCCGCGGTCTCGGCCTCGCACCAGTCCGTCCTCGCCAAAGGACCACTGTGTGGACCACACCAGTCCATTGATCGAGCCGAACTGACCGCAGCCTTGGCGGCGGTATCCTGGCTTGCGCGGACAGGGGTCAAAGGAACCCTATGGATCGACAACTCCTACGTTGCCCAGACCCTCAACCAGATCGCTCATGACCCGACCAACTCCAACGTCCACTCGCACGAGGACCTTTGGGAGCAGACCAGCCAATTCCTGGAAATGATGTATCCAGGGCAACTCTCAGTGGTACACGTCAGCAGCCACCAGGCCGAGAGTGACAGCCCTGACCCTTTGACCGACTGGATCATTTTCTGGAACCGACAAGCCGATGCTGCAGCGGGCCACGCCCACACTATGCGAACCAGCTCATTCCGAACCCTTTGGGACCGCTACGAGCAAGCCACCCGGCGACAGCGCCAGGAAGTGGACTACTTGCGGGCCTTTCATCTTGATCTGGCAGCCACAAGAAAGCGGCTACTCTCTGAAGGTGCTCATGGGGAAGAGCACCTGGACCCAGACGAAGATTGCGAAGCCCCTCGGATTCCACTTCTGAACGCGCGCCCGGTCTCACTGCCAGACAGTTTAAGCCATGTCTGGAACGCCAGCGCTTGTGCCACCCGTTTTGGGCAAACTTTTCCTCACCAGTTTCTCAACTGGCTTAGAGAGCAGCAAACAGGGGCACACGTACAGCATTGTGTTGCCTGGGTTGAACTTGCTGCCGCCCTCTTTTTGAGCGACTTGTCGCACCCACTTCCTGCGGTTGGCAGTGATCCGTGGGTTGATGCATCTCAGGGTAGAGGCAACGATGGTTCCATTCTCACGGTTGCTGTTCGTGTTCGCTTTGTGTCCTCTTTGGTGAAGGCCCTCGCCCGTGAGCTTGGCATCAACTTCGAATTTGTTCATGGCCTCAATCGCCTCTCACTAGGCTTTGGGATGCCTTTGCATGGAGTAGTTTTAGGACTATCCCCTTGCACTTTAGACAAGGTGGATCACATGCTGCGGCTGTTCAATAGCAGCCGAACAGCTTCCAAGGCCGGGGACCTCGCCCGGCCTTTCGCGCGAAGATAGCGGTAACACACCGCGGACCACGAACTTTCGCTGCTGCACTGCTTCGCCGTGCACAGCGGATTCAATCCGTCCGCATGACTTTTTTTGGAATGGTTCGTATGAGTGGCGTGCACGGTGTGATGAGCAAGGGTGACTCGATTGGCGCAGCCGGGATGTTATCATTGCGAATGTTGGCTTCATTTTGGTTGGTATGGCTGGCCTTGGCATGGTTGGCATGGTTGGCATTGGTTGGTATGGCCTTTTTAATCGACCAGGTGAACTTACTGAGAGCTTTTTTGGCTCAGAGGCGAAGGTCTGAATACCAAAAAGGACCTCCAAGCGCTCCATTTTTTCGGACTTGCCAAGAAGTTGCGGCGCTGCAGTTTTGCTAAAAGCCAGCGGGGAGGTTCGCTTTTCGGGTCCAAAGGGCCCGAGATGCGCCGGAGTGGTGAGGAAGCGGCGCTTGGGGCGGATCTCAAAGGGCTTGGCCTACCAGTGCTGGAGAGGCGAAGATGTGGAGATGCCAAAGGGCAGGATGCGGCTGGAGGCAGAACGGACACGTGTGGGGTCCACGAAAAGTGGGGGCTGACTTGTTTTCTGATCACTTTTTGGGTTTCCATCACTGTCCCATAGGTTCGACGTCCAGGTAAGTCAAGGTTGGGACTTATGGCTGGTCCCGGAATTAAAGGCATGAGCTTCTTGCAAATTGAAGCCTGTGAGATGCAGAAGAACAGATGATGTACCGGGCTGGTCAAGTATCACATGGAGAAAAGAGCGGGGACGTGTTGGTTGGCTCAGAGCCGATGCGCGCTTTCACCTCCGAGTGCCTAGTTTTTGTTTGGTGGCTTTAAGCATTGTCCTCGGGTGGGCTTTTGTTAACGGGGGAAAGAAGGGAAGCTGGTTTGGCAATCAAAGAATGCTTGTGCTGTAGATCACAAGAGCAAGGGCACAGGCAGAGGAGAGGTGCTGGGATGGAGGCAGAAGAGGCCCGGAGGAAGGGGAGCATAAGCATTGTAAAGTCCATCGCACACCTTCGCGAGTGAGGCATCGGGTGTGCAAACCCGGAGCGTAGAGGTTTGGGGAACCGAAGCCTGATTCCAGCCAAGCCTCGCGACTGTAGCTAAAGCCTCGGATGCATTTCCGTGGCCAAACAAATCCGCCATAAGCAGAACGAGCACTTTTACCAGGGTTCCTCTCTGGCGACCCGTCATTTCCAGCTGCATGTTTTGTCCTGACGCTTGCAGGTGGAGCCCCAGCTGCAAGCGGACCCCTCAGCATGTGCGGCCCTGGAGACACTGAAGGCGGAGGTGGCTTGGGCGGCCGAGGCGGATAGAAGGGGTGAGGAGGAGCGGATCCAGGCGGGAAGCGCCATTCCAGATGGCTGTGTGGGTCAAAAATGGGTACCCAAAATGGAACCCTGGTAAATGGAAACAAATACGAAAACCACGTAACCCCAGCTCTTTAATTTCCGTGCAACACGCATTCGACAATTGTGCGGCAACTATTTCGTTTCCTAGACGAGAGTGGGCATTCTATTGGAAGGTCCAAGATTGCCAGGTGTCGGCAGCGGTCACAGTGCCATACCAGGAGCAGCAGGTGAGGAACCATACCTTTCTCTTCGGTTTTGAGGAGCGGCGGGGTATCCAGATCCATTCGGAAGAAGGGAAAGAAGGCAGCTAGTGTCCACTTCGCTGCAGATTTTGGTTGAAAATGTGAATTTGCAGTAAACAGCGCATGTCAGATGTGCGCCATTCGCATCATGTGGCCTTTTCGCGTCAAAGGGCGCCCAGAGCCATAGACTCTCATTTGCAGAGGAAACCAAGGTGCAGCGCGCCATGGATGGAGACACTTCGCATCAAGCGGCACATGCGGCACATGCCGAAGTAAGTTGGCAGCGGAGCAGTGACCGCGAGCCTGACAGGTTCTTTTTGGGGTCCGAGCCAGAGCAGCAGGACTTCCACTGGGACCAGTTTGAGATCGGTTCTGATGAAGGCGAGCGCAGCCTGCCAGAACCCCAGCTGGAGAGAGGTTCGCGGCCCGATCCAGTTTGGAGCCCAATACGCGGAAGGAGGTGCGCCAGGTGTTTGAGTGACCGCATCATGATATATGAGCAGGTGGCGACGTGCATGGACTGCGACAGCGACCAGACCTATGACACCGCCACAGCCATCCGGCAAGATGTCGCCGAAGGCGTGTGGATGTACCTTCCTAGGCCCACCGCCGCGCCTGCCGGTTTAAGACCATGGTGCTGGACGTCTACCGACCTTTGTGCCTTCTCAAGGTGGGAACGCAGAGTTCGCACATGGGAGCTTCAGGTCCAGAACCACATGACGAAGGTGGAGGCGGCGTTGGCGCTCGCTCACCGGAGAGGTGAGCAGGAGACCGAGCACTTAGATCCGAGCTTGGTCAACGACAAGAACGGCATCGAGTACGTGGCCCACTGCAACAGCGGGAGATCTACCAGAAGAGGAAGCTCTTGGCGGACTTCGAGGCCAAGGGAACAGGCTGTTAGAACGTTGCCGCCTGCCACCCGACTTGGCCCGGCTGACTTTGGTGGCCTCAGGAAATAGCCTGAGGTATGAGGACAGCGAGAATGCGCTCAGCATGCAGTTCCCCGACTTCAAGCCGATTCTGCCGGTCTTCTACGGCACGAGCTTAGGGCGGTGAGAATGGCAAAGGTTCGCAGAAGCCAGGAGACTCCGGCAAAGGTGGGAAATCCACCAATGGCAGCAAAGGCAAAGGCGGAAAAGATGCGGCTCCGCCCAAACGTACCTTCATGGTCCGGTTCCCCGACGGCGCCCAATCCGAGCACTGCACCCCCTCGGTATCTGCAGCGTCACACCAGGGGTCCTTCTTCACCTGTTGCCTCCTTCACAGTGTGTTCGACATCAACGTGGCAGAAACCCCCAAGTTCGCGGGCTACATGATTTTGGACACAGCATGCCAGCGTTCATGCTGTGGAGAGTCGTGGTTCCATGCCCACTGTGAGCTTCTCAAGGGGTACCGCATGAAGATCAAGCATCACCCCGCCACAGACACCTTTCAGTTCGGTGCAGGTGGCCTCCAGAAGTCCAAGTTCAAGGCCTACATCCCCGTCCGCTTCCACAGGCCAGGACGCTCTGCGAGAGTTTTGGAAGCAGATGTTCCCCTACTGGCCAGCAACCCTTTGATGGAATATCTGGGTTGCATCATTGACCTTGTCAAGCAGCAGGTGTTTGTGTCCGCCTCGGCATTTACCCACCCCCTCCTCAAGGTTAATGGCCATTTGGTTGTGAGCATAGCGGAACATCAGAAGCAGGACCACCAGTCTTCTGTTTGGGCCCGACTGTCAAGTGACGTGAACTGGGAGGATCCGCCACCTGAGCTGATTGCATCCCCCGAAGTCATGTTGGATCAGAAGGTTGAGACCGCAGCCTGCCTTGCGAATCGCCCAGCACCGCATGGACCAACCACTTCCTCCGGAGTGGCTTCAAGCATGGAGAACGGTCCTCATCAGGGTCATGCTGATCAAGCACCTACAAGGCCATGAGGCGGCTGGTGAAATCTTGGAGGGCATGAACTACCACTGGGGATGAAGAAGGGACAACGGCAGAAGCTGCGGACAGAGGTGAGACAAGCTGGACATCAGCTACAAGCAGAATTCGATGTGATGAGCCAATCATCACGAGCAAGGACTACCCGGCAAGGCCATGATCACGGAGCACGCGTTCAACCTCACCACCATGGTGCCGGTCGACTATTCCACGGGCTTCGACTTGTATCAAACCAGTCACCAGAGCAATCAGTCGGTACAGCCCTGGTACAAGGCATTGACTGCCAGGATTGGTGCCTCCTCCAGGACAACACGAACTACGTGCGCCGCAAGGTCGAACTTCAGAAGAGGCGGAGGAAAGCACGCAAGCTGGTCAAGCTTGCGACAAAATGGGCAAAATGCCAGATCGACGGCAACAGGTTCTTCTTGACTGAGAACCCGGTGACCAGTCGACTTTGGCAGGAGCCGGACATCAAGGAGCTGGAGAACATGGATGGCGTGATGTCTACGGTGTGCCGTTCGAGCGCTTATGGCGCCACCAACAGCAAGGGCGAGATGATCCGCAAGGGATTTCGCTTCATGCCCGGAGCTGCTGAACAGACTTCAACGGAAACTTGATCCTGGGCAACTTCAGCAGTGCGTACCCCTCCAGGGTAAGGAGACAACGCTTAGCCAGCGCTACCCGCGCGAGATGGTCCTGGAAATCCTCGCGGGCATGAAGGAAGCAGTACTACGACTTGAACCTGAACGCCTTCAGCGGCAAGCACAGGTCTACGTCATGTCCGAGGTAAACGAGAATGCCCAGGACTGGACCTACGTCCTGGACGAAGCAGCCAAGATGTTCAGCACATCTACGACCAAGACCTACACCGTGCCTCCCAATGACAAGCCCATGGAAACGATCAAGAATGTTCCATGGAAGATTGAGAAGGCGCAGCTCGCAGCAACACCAGCCATCTTCCGGATGCCCAACAACTTCGCCTCCACACACCGTGGCGCTGTGCTGAGACACTCCGACAAGGAGATTGCCTTCATCTTCGATGTGATCAGACCACGCCAGCAGCGCTTCTGCAAGGCGGTGGAGGTCGACGCGTGCATCTACGGCTTTGATATGGCAGATCAACCTGATCTACGACAACCACAGACGGCTGATCCTCAATCCGAAAAAATCCTGAGACAGGAAGGCATCCACTTTCCGAGGCCTCCAGCAAGATTACTCCACACCTTCGGTCTGTGATTGCCAGACTCGACAAGAACATGGGCCACCCTCGAGCATCCGAGCTCAAGAAGCTGCTGACAATGAACGGCGTCAGCGATCCCAACATCTACAACGCCATCGACCACATGGAGTGCCACGCCTGCGATCGCAACAAGCTACCTCCCAATCCAGCACCTGCAGGAGTTCCTACGGAAGGCTACTTGCATCGGCGACAGTGCGACATCGTCTACATCAGGGACGTCTCTGGGAAGAACCACCCGGTCCTCGGGATCGGCGCGGCTGGCCTCCAAGAAGTTTCATTCGTCTTGGGTATCACCGTACGGCTACCCGCTGGTTCAGCCTTTGAAGCAGATCTTCAACTTGGCGGCACCTTCGTGGACTACATCCCACCTGAGGCTCATTCCCAATTGGGCCTGGTCGAACGGCACAACGCCACCCTGAGGAGCATCATAGCTTGTCGACAGCGACACCCACTCTCGACAAGGCGTTGTGCGGCTCCTCCTTTGCAAAGAACGCTGGAACCTGGTCAAGCGGGAGACAGCCCTTTGTTGCAGCACTGGGCAGGATTCCACGCGTCGGCATGAACCTCATGAGCGACGAGAGATCTCTTAGCATGGGATCAACGCGGCAAGAAGCTCAACGAACGGCAGAGCTACTTCGCGCAGAAGCTCAACGGCATCTTGCGACCATGCAAGTTGACGCAGGACTGAGAAGAGCACTCCTTCGGAAGACCAAGCCCGAGACGCGCCTGTGGGCGGCATCGTCGCTTACTGGAGATGGACTGCAAGGAGCGGCAAGAAGCGCGGCGGCTACAAGCTGGCACGACTCCTCGGGGGAACCAGCACGGTCCGGGTCGCTCCACATCAACTTCGAGAAGCCCACGGGATCGAGAATTGGGTCCCCAGCAAGGAGGACGTGGCCGCCCTGAGGGTTGCAGCAGAACGTCCTGGAGTTCCTGAACCTCCGGATGACGACTACGTGCACGAACCCGTGCCCGAGAGTCTTGAACCAGAAGCACAGCTTCCTTTGGTTGTACCTCAAGCACCACCAGCACCTCAGTCACTCCAAGAAGAAGCTGTGCAGACGGATGCACTCCTACCCGAGATCAGGCAGGAGAGCAACGTCCGCATTGACGTGAGTTCACCTACCTACATCAGGAACCAGACCTTCGGCTATCCAGGTCCTCCACGGCAACCTGTCTACACGCCTACAAGACGAAGGTCAAGAACACCTACAGCCAAGCGGAGAATTACGGCACGTGAACTACCACCTACGTCAAGCGAACCTCAAGCACTACCAGACCAGCAACCACAACTCAAACCTCAAGCGCTACCAGCATTGAGCAGTGACACGCCTCGACTACATCTACCTCAAGATGCCAATGCCACGCCTTGCCCTGAGGAGAGCGCGGACATTGGTAACCCACTACCAGCACCAATGGATGACCAGCGTGACACGTCAGCGAAGAGAACCTCAGATGACGCCGGTTTACCTTCACGAGAACCGAGCGCGGACATCTTGTACACCCATATGTTGCAGGATGACGGCGTGATCCAAGCCCCACCTGGATGGGACGGTTCCAATGAAATCAACATGCCCAACAATCCCAACAGTGCCTTCGCCTACCAGCAGGAGCCTACGTTGGCACTGGAGAGAGTGAGGATGAAGAACCTGGCTGTGAAGACCTTCGAGATGGGACACCAGGCTACATCAACGAGACCTTCCTCACCAGACAAGAGCAGAAGGCCTTGGACGTGAGATTCCCTGGCAAGACATCGTCAACAAGGGCGGCAAGTACTTGCAGGCCTTCGTCAAGACGGCCCAAGAAGAGGAGAAGAGCTGGATGAGCTGGAACAGCGTGCGAGAAGTGGAACCAGA